TGGCATGTGGTGCTGGGGGATTGAACCGCGGTCCCTGTGCTTTGCTAAGCTTGTTCTAAGTAGGTGCTTTAGACCACTGAGCCATCTCACCAGCCCCGATTTTTAAAATTTATATTTTATATTTTGCAGATGCAGATCAAACATAGGGCCTTGCACATGCTAGACAAATGTTCCGCCACTGAAATACATATCCAACTAAAAATTACAGTTTTGAAATAACCTGCTTTCTGATGATGGCTTTGTTTTTCTCACTACCATGAGTGAAAAATTAAAACTGCTCAGGAATCACTTTGTTTAAAATAACTGAAAAGCCAATGCTTACAAGGTACAATTCTTAAATTTTAGTTTCCACAAGCTTTTCAAGAAACAGAGCTACCAACTTCTGCAGGAAAACGTTAATGCTTAACTCATGTTGCCTACTAATCCATGGAATAGATGAAAAGGCAGAGACAAAGCTGCAATTTCCTCGTACTAGGTAATAAAACGCTCAGAATCAAGGGAGAAGGAGTAATTTGTATTAGAATTTTAGTAAAGCTCTACAATGGCTAGAGACTAACCAAAATTTCCACCAAAACTTTCTGGAGTAGAAAACTCCACCTTCTTACATCTAAACTATTTGAAGAACTCTTTTTCTTAATTTTTTTTTTTAAAGATTGCTTTTTGTACATATCACCTTGTTCCATAAACAAACTGTCAATAATCTTGCTTTTATAACTTTTTTTTTTTAATATCTCAAGTCCTTTCTCTGGATTTTAGAACCTTATGTAAAATAACTCCTCCTTCCAGGTGAAAAGTGTAGCCCTCTGGCCTGCCCTGCTTATTTATGGACTACCATATCCATTTTATTTTTGCACTAAAGCCCACACAACTCCCTTGAAACAGAGTCTTTTGTACAGTACATTATGTCTTCTTCCTCTCCTCACTTCTCGCCAGCACCGAATTTGTCCGTGCCATCCAGAGCCAGGCAGCCTACACAGTCATGGCTGTAGCCCCCTTGCCAGTGTTCGGGGCTCTCCCTGCACTGCAGAGCCCTGAGTGACAGCACACACTTGATGACTGAGCACAGGAATGACTTGCTGGGGTGCTTCTGGGCATTTGCATGAACCCCAGACAGTCCTGGAGTGGGAGCAGGGGAGAGGAAAGAAGAGGGTGCTGTGACTCACATGGCTGGCCAGATGTTTCTGGCTCTTGGCATGCGTCAGGGACAAGGTGCTGGTTGGCAGAATGTAGCTGGTGGCTTTCACTTTATCCCAGGCCTCCTTGTACAGATTCTGGAAGGGTTAAAAAGTCATGTGAATACGGAGCAACGCATTCTGGTTCGCTCCAGAGTGGCAGGTTCTCTATTTCTGTCCTTGTCAGATGATCCTTGCCAATATCCAGGACTCATTTTCAATTGGAGCTTCATTTAATTCTATATATGAGCTAAAATCGAAATCTAAGAATCCATGAAAAAACTAGAAAAATCTTTGGGGAGAAGGTGCACATTCCCCTGTATTCTTTTATTGTTTCTGAAGGGCAACAAGTGGCTCAGGAAAGACTCACACTGCTATAAAGGCTCTTGAGATTCTTGGTCCTGTCGTAATCCACTGTTTCTAGCACTGTGGTGTATTTGTCCTTAATCTGATGATAGTTTTCTTTATATTTCACCTATAGACAGAAAAGCAAAAGTCTTATTCACCTCTGTTGTTAAAAAATATATAAAGACAAGAAATGGCTTATGTCTCAAAGAGGGGGACAAAGAAGACATACCTCGCTGGCATTAATGCCACTTTGAAGAGCAGTCACATAAACTGGTGTATCTGTGACCAGGTTATAGTTTTGTAGATTTTCTTTACCTGCTGCTGTGTATTGGATCTGTGAAGGAAAAGGCCATCAAAAGTGATGAAACACCATCATCAGCTCTAAATATTTGTGCCAATTTATATGGGTTTACTTATTTATGGGTTTCTGCTTTATTAATTAGGGGTTTACTTATTTCTGAGCTTCTGCTGAGAAACAGGCTACCATCCTGCAATCCTAAAGACTTACTGTGCTGCCAGAATGAACAGCTTCTCTGGATCAGGAGTAGAGTTGGGGCCTCTGCCTGCTAACCCTCCTCAGTTTGTTCCCTTTTGTATGCCCTTTCTCTACCTGGCAGCAGCCCCTTGATTTGAATAAGCTACTAGACCCATCTTTCAAAGCTCATTAAAAAAAGCTCATGTGTATGCTGGGATATTATGGGATTTATCTTTTCCTTCAAAATACATTTATATGTGGCCCCAGAATGCTCTTGCATCCTATTCCCTCCAAGTTAACTTGGTCAAAGTACAAATGCCTGAGACTCTGAAACACCTCCTGGGTAACTTGCTGTTATAGATATACAGCCTTCTATCATCAGAGAGGTTCATACTGAGAAGCTTCAGTGCTGGACCTTTAATTGGGTCCAGACGGCCACGGGGTTCCTTTAAATCATACACAATTTTAGAAGCTATTTGATTAGAGCTTCGTGGTCAAGCATGGACACAGCTTGCCTGACAGCCACTCACAGCACCTGGGGTTTTGATGACCTAGGAGGGCCAGTCTTTGTAGGAAAAGTGACTCACTTGACTCTGGAGGTCATATGATTTCTTAGCATGGAGGATCTGAGGTGTATCCCAAACGTAGCAGCCAATGCCTCTCAGCCAATTTAAGTCATCTTTATACACATTCTGCAAGAGACAAAAGACAACCAATAGTGATAGGTATTCTAAATTTATAGGATTCTGAGTGTTGAAGTAATTTCCTGTTGGTCCTCAGTTGGGCTTACTGCTTAGAAGACATGCATGTGTGGGCCTCTCACTATCTGGGAGGTCTGTAATTCCCTGGCCTAAAAAACTGTGAGGGGAGCAACACCTAAGTCCAACCTACTGCTGAACCGATTAAAAATTTAACACAGATGTCCAAAGGCTCAAAGGAAATTCTTAAACCCAAAATTGGTTACTTGTGCAACTTTACTTTGAAAGTTGCCAGTGTATAAACACAGGAACAACTGAAGCCTAAGGAAACCTGTAACCTAACTCAAAGGCAGAAAGGCAGCATACATCACTTAAAATTTCCTGGGCGTTTCGGGCGTGCATAAACTTGGGCTCTTCCGGGAGAGACGTCCACTGGTGGAAGTAGTGTCGATACTCCAGGTCACTGAGGATGTACTGGCACCTTTTAGCCAGCACGTGATTCAGCATGTCATTGGGGATATGAACGTTTGCTTTTGTGTCCTCATAGTGTTTTCTGTAGTTCAACTAAAGAACGAAATTTTAAAAGACAAAAATTAGATAAGAATTAAAACTTAAATAATTCAGATCAATCTCTTTTGAGTCTTAATTCCAATATAGATCAATGCCTCTAAAAAACACTGATGCCAAAAAAAATATTATACCCTTCCTTTTCAGTTTCTCATCTTTCTAGAATCCAAGGCCAACAGTGAGCTTGGTGGTTTCTCCTTTTTGCATTATAGGGCCCTCACTGTGTGTTTGGTGGTATAAGAAGAAGAAGACAGGAAACCTCCAGCCATTGAGGGTACAAAGTGAGGGTAAATATCTAGAATAAATCATTCTAAGCCTAACATGGTGGCCTACATTAATCGCAGCACTCAGAAGGTGGAGACGGGAGGACTGCCACAAGTTCAAGGCCATCCTGGGCTACACAGTGAGATCTCATCTTGAAAAAACAAAAGATCACTCTCCACCCCCCAATCGCTAGTTCTGAGACACAGGAACAGCTGTAAATAGGCAAGCACAGAGCACACTGAAGCTGTTCAAAAGCATGTTGAGGTGAGCACAGGCTTACCGCACTCCTCATCTGCTGGAAATCCAGACAATGAACCACGCTGGGGAACTCACTGATCACTTTTCCAGCCAGGTAATGGCCCTTCTGCTTCTCATATGTCTCTTTGTATTTCAGCTGTGAGACAGATTCAACGGTGAGAAGTACTGGAGTTTTCTAATCAGTCCTTTTCTCCCCCCAAATGACCCCCTAGGGGAGGAAAAAGCCACACTGACCTCACTGTTCACCAGGTCAGCATGCTTGGCTCCAACAATAGGAATATAACGCTCATCCAGGGTGTAGCCATAGGCCTTGGTTCCCTCCCAGGCCCCCTTATATAGTATCTAGAACAAAGAAGTATGTGTTGATAAAAATTTGCATTCAGCTAGTACTTTCAGATATTACTAAAACCATTATGAGAATTAAAGCAAAACATTTATATTCAAAGCAGGGCCTAAAATCTTTATTTGTAGCCATTAACAAGCCTAGCTAAGACAGGGCAGTCATTTAGCTTATTGGAAATGGAATCTCAGGCATTTTATAATAGAGTGAACTGTATTTCAGTTCTAGAAAAAGTGATGAGCAATTTGTATACAGGAAGAGAAGCATCAAAATTGCTTTCAACTGAATAAGCACTGCCCCTTTACATTAGCCAAATTAAATGTTAGAAAGCAAGCCTTCAACCTGGGGGCTGCAGACACCTGTGCATGACACCTGAAGGAAAACAAGCCTTTCCTCCCTTGGAAGCTGCTCCCAATTCTGAGCTCTGAGAGCTTCTATAGCACTCATCATTATTATCTCTTTATTTGTGTATGTTCCTGTCACTTGTTTGAGCTCCTGAAGAGTTCCCCTCATTTAGCTTTAGTCCCTGAAGCCTCCTACAGTTCCCAGCACATCACAGGAGCTCAAAAAGTCCAGCTGAGCACACACTGCTCACTCTGAGTGATACGCTAGTTCTAGCAGACAAGACAAGATGCAATTAAAACAGTATGGTGCTCTGTTGTTTGCTGTTCAGCTGTCCACAAAATCAGCCAAGAAGATGAACACTAATAAGCGCTAACACTAGGAACCGAGATGCTACTACATGAAATAGGACTCACAGTGCTGTAGAGTTTTCCCATGTCCTTGGAATGGGAAATATATGGTGTGTCTGGAGAAAATGTGTATTTGCCCTTGGCTTTATTAAATGTTTCTTTATATTTTACCTAAAAAGAGAAAGCAATAAAAAGCTTTGATTACTATAAATGTATATTTAAAGTTTTACATAATCTACCCTTCAACATAATCAATAGTCTACACTTACAGATCAAAACTAACTCACTGGTTACATTTTTGGTCCATTTTAACTATCATAATAGGATATTTTTGAAAATAATATAGATATCTAAGAGCAGGTACACCATCTACTAGTGTCTTTTAAGACCTCACACCCAGATTATCTTATGATTTACCCCATCACAATTTCTTACAAGCAGTTATCTAGAGATGAGCTAATCCATTCAAGGATAATCAATTCTCAGTCTATATATTTCTGCATTCACAAAAAACTCACATCACTTTGATTGACTGCATTAATCTTGGCCAAAACAATCTCTGGAGGATCCACCACACTTGTAAAATTGGGATAGTTGTCAAGAGCTTCTTTCTTATATTTTATCTGCAAAGAGTTAGAGACAGTTGAGACAGGTCTATCCTCACAGGGTAAGGAGGGTAGGCCTTAGATTCCAAAGGGAACAGACTTTGCACACCTGATTCACCATCTCCTGGTTCTTAGTGACCCTCACATGGTCCACAGAGTCCAAGGGGATCCAGCCGATGCCTCGGAGCCACTCCAGGTCAGACTTGTAGACATTCTGAAAACAGGACAGAGATGTGGTGAAGAGTGTGGTTCAGGCTCAGGATTACAAAGAGCAAATTCCAAACTTCTTTTTCAGATTTTTTAAAGGTTTCTTTTGAGTGGCTATTGTTTTATTCAATTGGAACTTTACCTGAGCAACATTTTCTTGAGCCTGTGACTGCACAAGGCATTGTTCTCAGTGCTTAAGGGGTAAGTACAAGCTTAAGCCTCATGACAGTGAGGTCACACAAGTGCTACTGGAATTAAGGGAAGGGGCCATCACTTTCATCTATAGGAAAAGGTTTAAGGAGAAAGTCACAGTTTTAGAAGGACTTGGTTCCTTTAGTTATGTTGAAGCCTGTGTGGTACTGAGATGAAATGAAAGCAATTGCACAAGTAAAGACTAATGTAGTTGCAGGGCAGCGGTCAGGTGTCTCAACTGCACTGGCCACTTCTGTCTCTGTCCCCATTTTTTCCTCTCCCTGCCTCCTCCTGCTCTTAGATTCTTCTGGTCCACTCCACAAGATGAAGTGCTCTTAGCCTTTCGTCAATTACTATGACTTCACGTTGTCAAAAACCCCAATTCTATCTCAATTTTCACCCAAGTAAATTATTAGTTTAAGTCAGTTGGGAATTTTTCATGTTAATGTAAGAAGTTGCTGATAGCAGAAATGGCATAAAAGTAGATTTTAAAAATAACTGACTTTGTAAGTTATTAAAAAATATGGTCTGTAGGCAGTTATCAATCAATCACTGGTCTGTATTGTCCGTTACTTCATATCAAGCCTCAGTTCTCTTCTGTGTACAAGGTAAATCTTTATATCCAAAGTTTCAAAACCGGTAGGTCTAGAATGCTGCTTATCTTCACTACATTGTATGTCTCTAAATAATGAAGGGATGAAAACCACTTACATCACTCTGTAGGTCATAGGCCTTTCTTGCCTGAATTACATCATTTTGGTCAGGATGACATGTCCACTGGTGCAGGTAATTGCGGTAATCGATATCGCTGACAAGGCCCTGCCCCTGCTTGGCTGCCAAGACCGACACCATGTCTGCAGGAATATTGATTTTGGCCTTTGTTTTGTGATAGTCCTGCTTGTAGAGTCTCTCATTCTGGATCTGGCCTGCATGCTCAAACCAAACCAGCTTAGGGTCATCTCTCATGGTTGGTACACCGACATAGTGGCCTTTCTGTTTCACGTGTTCGGCTTTGTACTTCAGCTGGTGGGAAGAAGGACACAGATTCCATCAGCATGGACAGCCACACAAGGCAAAGGGGTCAGGACCCTGGGCCCAGAAACATCAGAAACTTAGCCTCTACACCCCTGATTTTTGTGGGTGACCCCCCAAAACCAGAACTGTAAAAGCATCAAAATAATAAATAAATATGAAAAAAGTGATTTTAAAATTAAAAATATATATGCTTGCTCTACATTTCTGGGAACATTTATTAGCAAGGCTAGAGATTTTCGAGAAGGCAGAGGATATGAGAAAAAGTGAGGAACTCAAACAATAGCTTTTGAAGGAAGAAGGAAGAGAAGGGGGAGACCCCAAGCCCATGGAAAAGATCAAAAGAGGAGCTACATAGCCCCAAGCGAGTTCCTTCCTGTCGGCCAGGGTGAAACAGAGTGTCTGTCCAGAGCCCTGGGCACCACGCGCTTGTCTGGCATTCCCTACAAGCAAAGTTCGGCTTTTCAAAGTGCACTCCGGCCAGGGAAAATTACCTCACTCTGGACATCACCGGAGTGATGGGCATGAACAAATGGCACAGCATCTGGAGGCAGGATGTAGCCTGTAGCTTTCTGTTTCTCCCAGCCTTCCTTGTAGAGGTACTGAGAGAAAAAGAGAACACAGTGGAGGTTAAACGAGAAGTCCTGTGCATAAACTGCCCAGGCTACTTTGGGCTCTAGGTCCCCACTGGAAGCACTGGGCACCCAAGTAAAAGCCCCACCTGGTCCAGGATCCGGGCAGCCTCTTGGGCAGTGTGCAGCAGGGGGGTTTCTGTGAGGGTGTATTTTGACTTGCTGTCATTCCAATCTTTCCGGTATTTAATCTAAAAGTAGGGGAACAAGGGAACTGCTTAGTTGACATTAAGAACATCATGTTGTCCAAGCAATCGCTGGCATTAAACATCCTGAGGATTAAACTTTGTATCTTGGAAATAATGGTCTGCTGAAGCGCAAGGAGGTAGACAATTTTAGAAATGATAGCTGCATGGTAGCATGATTTTTATTTTGTTATTTATTTTTTTAAAAGCAGTCTCACGATATAGTTTGGCCTGGCCTTGAACTCACTATGTAGCTCAGGCTGGTCTCGAACTTGTGGCGATCCTTCTGCCTCTGCCTTCTGAGTGCTGGGGTCACAGGTGTGCACCACCAATGCCTAGCATGACTGTGCAATTTGAGAGCCACTGCATACTTACATCATTGAGGATCTCACCACTTTGCTTTGCTGTCACATAGTCAACTCTGTCATCCACAGGAGTAAAGTTGAGAGTTTCTATTTTTGTGCGATATTTTTTCTAAGAGGAAAAAAAAATCTTTTAGACAGTTATAGTCCTCAGTTTTAGTGATGGAGATTTCTTAAATACAAGGGTCCTCCTCAACTAGAGGTGATGACTGCATTAAATAAATGGCATCTTCTTGACAACTTGGTTTTCTTTGAATTTTACTTTGTAAACAAATGGGTTGCTTTCTTATACCTCTCAGAGAACCTAAAGTAGCAAGACTGATCACCTCTCAGTCATGGCTTTACGTGTATATGTTCAGTCCATTTTTCAACTGGATAAACCTTTCCCAGCCTATTGCTATAACTGTCAAAAGAATTTTTCAATTTTTCTAATTCTAAGCACCAATGAGATATGCTGGGTATTACTATATTGGGGAGGTGGTCTTAGAATGTGAAGGAGACAGTACAGATTATTTTGGAAAGTATATCTTGCTTAAATTTTAGCAATTAAAAATGATTAAAGAAATATAAGAAGTAAAGCCATGCTGTTATGCTGAGCTGTAGGGACTCAGGTCAACAATTTCTGACGTAGCCAGTCAAGCGGAAGACCCAATACTATTATGGGCTACTGGACTCTTTTAGAATATTTTGCTGAGTTTACCACCTATAATATTCAAATAATGGAACTTAACAAAAAAAAAGGGTATACAGATGTATGTCCATTTTGTATCTGTGTATTAAAAATGGTTAGGATAGATATATAGTTACATTCTCTTAATGAATAGAGGGATTTGTTGTAATGGTGTTTGTAAATAGGATATCATGTCCGCATCTTGTACAGCAATTAACCACTAGGAAGAATGTATGCAATGTGTTAATTATTGAAACTGTCCTACCAATTTGGTTTGAAACTATCTCATTGCTTTTTGTTTATCAATAAAATTATGGAAAAAAATAAAGTAAAATTTTCAGATAAAATGATTAAAGGTGCTGATATGAGATGACTGTATTTTGGCCCATGTGTTTTTGTTCATTATCTTCGGAAATGTACTGAATGACACAACAAAATCTGGAATACCTCACTGAAGATATCCGCAGCATGTTTGGCGTGATTGACAGAAACGGAATCATTTGGCATCCACCCAATTCCACGTAACCACTCCAGGTCAGCCTTGTAAACAGCCTGTGGAAACAAGACCGGAATGACTCCAGCGCTACCGCTAACCTGGTTCCATTTAGCCTATCCAGAGATCAGGGAAGTGACACAATTTAAACACCATATAAACCAAGAAGGAGATACTCAAACTGTCAGATGTACAATGTAAGAAAGTTAATTAGGGCACATACTGTGACCAATTGGAGGATATTTTTTCTGCTTAACACGGGTTTTTCCACTGTATGATGTTTACACTCAACAGTTTGTTCCTGCTGGTTCATTCAAAGGATAGTGCAAAAGAAATGTAGTATCTGGCATTGGTGGTTTTCTTGGCTTTGTGTGTGTTATACCTGGTATTTCTATTGATACACTATTTTATAGTTACTTTTTTTTTTTTTTTTTTTTTTTTTTTTTTTTTTTAGCAGAACTGGGGATTGAACTCAGG